GTCGTTGTTCGGGGGGTCGAGACCCGACCTTCGTTAATGAAATTACTAAGATAACAATTACGCTTCAGCTATTTAAAATCATCACTAATACAAGCAATCACTTTTTTGTGTGACTCTTCAATAATGAATTTATAATGATGACCTAAAAAACACATACCTAGGTGGTTGAAATTCAACAACAATCATTAGTTTTTAAAAACAATTCCATTTTTTATTTTCAAAATTATGCATAATATACAGATGTCACCAAAGCTCGTCAATGAAAACTAAAAAAAAAAACGAAAATCTGTACATAAAAGGAAATGGTTGTTAACTGTTTTATAGTTTGACTGAATTTTTTTCGAAAAAACGTGAGCCTTTTTATTTCGCCTCTGGGTACCCCTCATAAAAACAAGGTTGTTTGTATGATCTGAGGTGTAGCCCTTCGGGGATAAAAACAGAGTCTATGTATGTTACAGCTCGTAACTAAATCAAGATGTCAAATTACTCGTTGTTATATCGAAACAATAGGATTCAAACAATAGGATTGAATCATACCGGGTCATCTGCAGTAAATGGACCGTGCAAAGGAAGTACATTTAAATGTGCTTAAAATTGTAAAACACATCCGCAGATGTTACATAAACTCGCTGATATGCATGTCTTATCTTACCTTGAAATGTAAACTTACTTCCGATTACGAAAGTTTAAGAATAAAATAACGAATATGGCTAATATATTATTATTATCTTTGCTTTTTCATTTACATATCTGCAAAAGAGTAACAATTTATCGGGGTGATAATATGTGGAGAAACCAATATCTTTCATGAAATTTGGTGCATTCCCTTGCACCATATGTTTATAACAAACGATTTCAAAAAGCGTCCGTGTGTGATTCGCACCGTGGTGTAAACAGTTCGTGTTGTCAAGTGACGAAGTACTCATATATGTTGGGTTTGTCATCAAAAGGAATAATACGAGCCTAAATTCGAGTGATTTTTGATAGTCACTAAATAATTCTACTGTCCATCTCCTGCCACCATGCTACAAGGAGACAAATTATAGTATTAATATTTGGATTTTTTTATTTTGAAGCGATAATTAGAAGTTGATTATCAATTATTGACTTCACCTTTAGAATCACACTAATTATTTTCCCCTAAATTTGGGAGTTTCTCCTTAACTTGGCAACACATTGCGTAGGCGTCACATCGCCAAACGACTGTTCTAGAAGGTGCTAGTGCTCTGGAAACATTACATAAACTAGAACATACTTCGCTGGGACCTTACCAATGACATCACCTTAAAATACTGAAATAGATATGTATGTATGTGGACTACGTACAATGAGTGTACTGGCATAACATGTAGTTATTTTTTTCAAGGCCATCGCTAACACAACTTTTTAATGAAAAAGAAATAGTAAAAGGCGCCATAATAAAACCGTTAAACGAATATTTTTGTGTTCACAGGTCAACGTATACCTATCTACCTATAGGGTTGGCACTTGTGCAATTGAGAATTAAGTATTTATACATGGGTATGTTCTTAAATTATTAATAAAAGGGTATATTGTTATGCGGCACGATAGACCGACGACTTTAAGGGGCTGGCCGCTTTTGAATGCAGACGCGGCCCAAGACCAGCTGCTATTTTTTGTTGTTAACGTACAAGCCACTGTCATTCCATTGAAACGCTATTGAGATACTATTTAGATTCCATTGACATCGCTCAAAATCTGGGATGTTAGACGCACCTATATCTTGTTATACGTACCATTTTTCAGAGTCTTGTACCATGTACCAACTAAATATTGTGTTGATACGCAATAATACATACTTTCTACATTGATCATATATTAAAAAAAAACTGGTATACAAAACTATATAAGTTTTTTCTGTACGTCATGGATCGATCGAATTTGTCAGAAATTAATATAAAAATTCGGGTAATGTGACTCACGGATGATTTCTATTTTATATTTTTCAAATTATGTATAGACATTTATAAGATCTAGTAATAAAAACGTCAACGAATAACGAGATTAATTATTATTGTTAATTTATATAATAGTTATTTATTAGGTATGATTTTTTTTTCAAATAATCAAGAATTTCTTCGATAATTCAATATTTCATTTAAAAGAATATACAAAATAAACGGTTTATTATTATTAGTATTACCTAATGTAACGTTATTATTAGTGTACCAACTTTTTTTTTAAATACCAGCTTTAGTGTGGTGTGGTGAACACAACCTAACATCCGTGCTTAAAATATCAGTATTGTAATAACATAAATTTACAGTGTCAATAGGGTGTGGATGTGGTGACAATGACTTTTCAATAACATTGCTATATCTGGTAAATTAAATATATATATATATCATTTAATTAAAAATGTAATATTAAAGTATTACAAAGACATCGGGAGACCATTGGTCTTATATATGTTAGTAGAATACGAAAAGTGCAAAACTATTCCGACGACGACAGTGATACAAGATTAAAATAGTAGAATTGATGCTCAGGATAGTTGTCGCCTCTTAGGAGGAGGCCTTCGTTCAGCAGTGGACAGCGATAGCCTAAAGCTAACACGACAAAATAAAATTTAATAGCTTAACCAAAACTTTACCAATTCATCTAAAATGTTTTACTTAACAATCAAGGAATCTTATAGATTACTTAAAAATGCGGTGCAGCTGAGTAACCAATATGTGGTAGGGGAGCCCTAGAAGGGATTTCGGGATTTACTCGAGCGAGTTGCCCAGTTGAGTACCTCCACCATACATGAGCACTATATAGGGAGGATCGTTTAGGGCCCACCAGATTAATTACAAAAAAAATCGATGGCCAGAAATACTCGAGCGTGTGAAATAAGTATGGTAAGTTGAGTCAACTACAAACACATTAGTGTATACCTTTTTAAAAAAAATTGACGATTTAAGCGTGACATGATGCTTTATGTCACGCTTAAATCGTCAGATTTTTTTTCAGGTTTTTTTTGGAACTTGCTACCCACCCACTGCTGTGGGTGGGTAGCAAAGTTCCAAAAAAACCCATGACATTGTCATTTTTTTTTAATTTGAAGCAAACAATGCAAGAAATATTTAAATGTATACATAATTTTTCGTGCCTATATTTGTCACATTTTATGAAAAATAAAACTATTTCTTATTTAACTTATTAACTACTTATTTATCTAATTAATATTTAACGAAAATACCTTTCATGACAGTTGTGAAATTGATAGTTGATCGGATCTGAATTGAGATCGAACTTTTATTACGAGTGGAGAAGGATTATGAGGACTATTTTGATTTCAAGGTAGCATCAGAAGGCCAAAGCCTGATCCTACCCTGAAATCAAAATAGTCCGATGGCGAGTGAAAACCCTAAGTCGATGTTGTTTTGAATAATTGGCTAAAAATTCTTATAAAACTTGATTGATGATATCACTCGTTTCGGTTCAAAAGGTATTAAAAGAGGTACGTTTAATGAAAAACTGTAGTACACAAAGAGCTTTGTTTAAATACCTATAGTGTATAAGTTTCATAAATATTTTCTTTGAAAGAGTTTATTTATCCTTTATTTTGCTCGCAAAAACTTCTGGATGATTCAGACGAGAATACGCGAAGCGATAATGTTAGATTTGAACCGACAACAACTAAGTACATGGTACCTTTCATCATCAGGCCTTTTTTCTGTGCAGAAATCCCCTCGGTTACCGCCGTGGTGGTTTTGTCGGACTCGAACCGACTAAAAATAACACGCCGTCTCGGGTAGCTGCGAATTCTCTAGTACCCCGACGTACCTCGGGCCACCACGCTCCAATAGATGACACCTTCTGTGTTTGAACCCCGATGTTATCCCCGCCTCCCGCCCCGAAAGAGCATAGCGCGTCTCCATCATCAGGCCCATAGTCGGGCGAGGTTGTATACAGGCGTTTAAACAACCAACTCTAGTTAAATTCTGGTCGCATTTATATCTAATATTGCTGTATTATGTGTTGTTGTATTTTTCAACGATATTCAAACAAAATTATTTCCACGGTGAAGGCTTTGTTTCTACGAACATACAGAGATGACAATCTTTTACACCGTGACATGGTCGCGTGATAATATTTTAACACGTATACAAACAAATAACTAACAAAAACAGTTAGGTACTACACGATACGAGCATTAGCGTTGTCTAGATAAGATTAGGAACAGTAATTAAACAAAACAAAACCTCCTTTCTAAGGATTTGGTATGGAAATAGTTTGATACTTGAGAAGGGACATCCAAGGCATATAATATATGTCTATCAAACATTGAATAGTATAAACATTATAAACATAAATGGTTAATTATTATATCTCGAGTACAAAGGTAAAATACCTATACAGTACTGATGTAAGCCAGTTTGGGTTTTCACAAGCATTGTTGCTTAGAGTAGTTACTATTTAGACAGCAAAGCAGCTAATACGTGACCTATATTATAAAAAAATATGAACACGTCGCTGATCAATGGGAGTATATTAAATAAATGCCTCGCACAACCAATCTGTGGAACAAGCTATCGTCTGCGGTGTTTCCGGACCGATCCCACCGATACCTTCAAGAAAAGAGCGTACTCCTTCAGACGTTCAGGGCCACAGGTTCAGGAACTTTTGACCCGTCTGCTCATCTGCCCCCCTCTACCATAAAAAAAAAACCAGTGGCACTCCGGAAGTTTGTTTTTTTTGGTTGTTTCGATTCGAAAAGTTCCGACATGAATATAATCTATGTTGTACGTATATACACAATATATGTTTGTATTATATACATTTATATTATCAATGTATTTCAACCCAAACTCAACTCTCGTGTAAACGGGGCCAATATAAATGTAAATACTTATATACAGTGATGTCGGTAACGGTAACAGTGTCGCGAGTTCAATGGTTTTTTTCATATCTCAAAAAAAAAATCTTTTGTTTGTTGTTCAAAAATGAATAGAAATATTTTTTTTACTTTAAATAATATAGGTATGACTTACCGTTATCCATGTCTAACGGAGCGTGCCTATCACCCTTTTCGCCTTTCCCGCCTTTTGATGGCGTGTTCTCGTAGTTGAAGCAGGCTGCGGACAATACAGATACCATTACTAGCTGACCCGCAAACTTTGTTCTTTCATATTATTCAAAAAATCAAATCTACCAAATATACGAAAAAAATCATTAAAATCGGTCGAGCCGTTTTGGAGTAGTGCGACCACAAACGACGGGCCTATCAGTCTAGTGGTTAGTAGTCTTGACTGCTAAACCTGAGTTTGTGGGTTGACTCCCACCTAAGAGAAATTATTGTTAAATGAATACCACTTTTTTTCTGTTTCTGTGTGTAATTCATCTATAATATATGTGTATGTATTTAGAAATATATAAATATGTTTAACAGCGGTCTGGTTACCATAGTACAGGCTCTGCCTAGTTTGGGATCAGACTAAACTTCTGACAGAGAAGTACTAGTTAGAGGACCCGAATTTTTTGTTGGTAATCAATAAACAAATATCGTTTTGGCAATTCTACTTATGGCCTTAAGTTCATAAGTGAATTTGACCTGAAAATATGATGATGCTTATTCTAAAAATAAATTAATTACATTAATTGAATAAACTAAGTAGTTACCTATAGGAACTCGTTACAGTAACAACACAACGCCCACAGTATAATTATTTTTTATTAACTCGTATGTTTGCATGTTATGTGGTAATTCCTTCACAACCATGACTAATCACAATATATATTTATATACATTAATCTTAATTACAAAATATAAACTAACAATATGGATCTCCAAAACCTCATGCGTTCCGTGATGGGCAACTATTGTATTCATTATGATACTTTATATTATTATAATGGATATTACATTACGTCATGACAATCATAAAAAGAGTACCCATCCATTATGCGACATTACTTTTGTGATATATTATTATGTATTTTAGGCATAGTTGATAATTATAAAGTGATCGTGTTCGTATGTAATTAGTTGTCTATTTTTATCTGTGTCCCATTGAAGACAGCCTTGCCCAACATTTGTTTACGAATGACCCCATAAAAGTTTATATAAGTTTTAAGACTATGGACCCCTCACGTAAAGCCAACGATTTAATAAGTTCAGTCATCACACAAAGTTGGCAAAAAATGTTAAAAATGTTGTTTGGTGGGCTTTAGAAGATCATGCCATCCACACACAGACGTTAACTATGTACCTCACCCTTCATCGTCTTTAAATTGTGATTTTCTTCTTTAGTACCTACTTTCTTTGCTCTGTTAATAAGTTTGTTACTGACAATGTAACTAACATATTAAAAACAACATTTAATAAAACATTTTTTTTATTAAAACAACATTTAACTTGAATTGATTTTAGAAACTAGTCTTAAGCAGAAAATTGCTTTTTTTAAGACAACTTCCACACTAGGAATACTAGGACTACATATGTCGCGGGGGACCCCACAGACATCGCAATTAAACTTAGAATAACAATTTGTAGATCACACAAGGCGGGCAGCGAGGTGACCGCTTAAACCACTACGCCATCCGTGTAGTTAAATTTTGGGTAGCGTAATAAGCAAGCAAGAAACAACTCTGTTCTTTGTTTATTACAGCGATAATTCATGTATCTATAATTTTCATTTTTTGACTTCATATTTACTTAAATATTCATTATATTCTACTTCTATCAAGGACCTCATTATAGATTACAGACAGATAGCTTAGATAGCTTTACAGACCCAAAGAGATCCGCGGACTGCAGGTTGAGAAACGCTGCTGTCGATGCGATCAATTATAGTATGTAGGTCACACACAGACACACTTTCAGTACTTCACAAACAATCAATAACTCAATATGGGTCATTATGTGATAGTATTTTATAACAGACTTTATTAGATAATTAAAATGTTGTGTTTAAACTACTACGAACGAACTAGCAACTAAAAAAGTGACGGCACGGTTAGTTGCACCAAAGCATTATTTACTAGGCAAAAATATTTAAATTCACGCGGCCGCACTGTGGGTGAAGAGCATAATAATCTGTGAGAGATATTGCCTTCCTTAAACAATTACTAATAGTCACATTCGTCCTTGCGCAAACTTAAAAAGGGGTGTTGTAATGAATTCTTTTTACGTATTAGTATACCTAGCGTTCATACATATTTACATAGTTACAAACAGTCCATAAAAACAGAAGAAAAATTTGGATTCTGCTAAAGCACATTGTAGGATTCTAGTGCCGGTTCTCAAACGTAAAAACTAATTTGTATGTCAAACCTCTTTGTCTATTGTATTTACAGTTTTATTAAGCTGTAAACACATTTATTAAGCTATGAACACATTTGATGCCGATGCACGTTACCTTTTAGTCATTGCACTTTCATTTCGTAAAAAAATCAATATTTTACTTTAAAAAAGTGGTTGACACTAGTAGAGTTGACTGTAAAATTGAAGTCATTCATTCTCATAGGACTTCTGAGTCACAGCAATGATTACACAAAGCTTACGCTTTTAGTTTATACTAACGACCTTTGTCGTCGCCTGCACAATAATCACCACTAGTATTCATTAATACCATCGGCGTCCTATAAAACAGCAAGGCGACTGTTTAAAGAATGTTCAGAGACATGAGATACTGAGTCATTGAAGTAATTAATTATATTAAAAACAAATGCCATAATAGGTACCTAGTTAATATAATTTACCTTAACTTATCTTATGTGTTAAACTAAATTAGAATTTATCACGACAAAATGGTAGTAACTAGTACCATGGACATTATATTTGACCCGCATTTCTTTTATATTTAACTTAGAGAAAAAAACATTACACGAAAGTGTAATATTTTATTGTCTTACTAAGGATTTAACATAAAATATAGGGTTTTGTTATTATATTGGAGCAAATAAGAAAACGACTACCGCAGCCCATGAACGCCTGCAACTCTTGCCGGCCTTTGAGAAGAGAGTACGCATTTTTCTTGAATGTTTGGAAATCGTATTGGTCAAGAAATATCGCAGGTGACAATTTGTAGAACAAATTGATTGAGGGAGGCAAAAAGTTAAATAAGGAATATACAAATAAATGTTCCATATTTTGTAGTTTGAGGCATATTTATAAGCGCCATCTTTATATGTATTGTAGCATTCTCATGGGGTAACAATTTAAGGTATTTAATTTTTTCTACTAGACCTTTCCTTTTTTTAACTAGAGTAACCGACATCGCACGGAGAATCAAGTGCGTTGAAGTGGAAGTGGGCCTATCTCCAGACGGATTGATGGTCGTTGGAGCCGAAATGTGCTAGAGTGGAGACCGCGCTTAGGCCAGGATCTAGGGGCACGATGGACTGACTTAGAGAGTGGCTGGCAGCGGAAGGATGCGGACTGCCCAAGACCGGGGTAGTTGGCGCTCCTTGGGGGAGGCCCTCGTTCAGCAGTTTGCGGCGATAGACTGATGAGAAATCTTTTTGTGCACGCACAGCTAAAGTTTTGTAGTGTGTCTTTATGTAAAAATTAGTACGTTATATGTTTTATTTTTCATACTTCACATATCACACTTTCTTGCTTAAATTGCATAAAGCGCTTTTTGGGTCCCTTTGAAGTCGTCTTTAACAGGTTTTCCTGTAGATATTACTGATACCTATCCTCATACAACACTATTTATGTATAAATAATTATGTAACTTTAAATAAAAAATTGTCTCAGTAACAAACAAATTTATTGGCTCGAGTTTATCGCAATCTTAGGAATTTATTCATTCTGTGGTCCAAATAAGGCGTATTAATAAAATACTGACGGCCAGTGAATACAAAAGTGCATTCAGTTAAATAAATATATAAATCTAGACTTCCATGCTTATATTATGAACTAGCCCTAGAACTTCGTCTGCGTCTCTCAATAGTAATAAATTTTCTCCGTTTTTGAAACATTCTTCATTGGTGCTCCGCTCCTATTGGTCTTAGCGTGATGATATATAGCCTATAGCCTTCCTCGATAAATGGGCTATCTAACACTGAAAGAATTTTTCAAATCGGACTAGTAGTTCCTGAGATTAGCGCGTTCAAACAAACAAACAAACAAACAAACAAACTCTTCAGCTTTATAATATTAGTATAGATGTGAAATTGAGCTTGTTTGTTTGTTTGTTACGCTTTCACGCCTCAACCACTTAACAACTCATAGTATGTAAGAAATCAAACCTAACCATTAAGTCAATTTTGTACGCAAAGTTCACCTCTTGTTTCATTAGACTCTCGGTCTCGTTGTCGTTGATTTTTAAGTCGCGCTGTCGCATTGTTACTGTGCAATCTATAAGAAGTCACGATAATATCCATTAAATAACAACGTTCTGAGTATGTGGTGTGGTTTTATTGCTATAAAATACTCTTTACCCGTCGTATAAAAAGGACGAAAAAGATCTTCGATGATCACGGACTGTAGTTTCTATCTATTGAAACTATGTATTTTGATCATAGTAATTATAAACGTGAGGAATATTGAAATATTTGAATTGTATAAATAGGATGAAATATAAATCGGAGTTATATTCGGAATTTTTAACCATTCGGAATAATGAAAATCGGTATTTTGAAATACGTATTTGTGACTGACGTATGGACGTAATAAAGCTTTTCGTATTTCTGTAGTATACCCGCAGCTACCCATTAGTGTCTATCTTTGAAGAATTATATAAAAAAGTTGATATATAATACTTTTTGACATAGGTATATCTGTAAATTAAGCGATTGTTGTGGTCCCGGCACTGCCCAGAATGGAATTGCTTAACATTGCATTGTTTTAACCGCCTCGGTTACCACTTAGCCACGAGCCGCATGCATACTAATCCTTATTAATATTATAAATGCGAAAGTGTGGCTGTCTATCTGTTCTCTTCAAGCTCAAACCGCTGAACCGATTTAGATGAAATTTGGTATAGCGATAGTTTGAGTGCCGGGAAAGGACATATGATAGTTTTTATTACGGAAATCACCCTTTAAAGGGGTAAAAAGGGGGGTGGAAGTTTGTATGGGAAATCCATAACCGCTGAACCGATTTAAATGGGCATGGAGACATTTTGGTTCCTAAGAAAAGACAGGCTACTTTTTACCGCAATAACCGACATACACGCGGATAGTCGCTGGGAAAGCTAGTTATGCATAAAAATTAACCTAATCAGTCAAATATTACGGAAGTGACATAACCACGTCACAAACCTCTTAACATATAGTTGACATGACTAGATATTATATTGTTAGGTATAATCTATGAGATTATGTCTACAGCACAAGGTCAACACATATGTGATTAACTGATGAATCATATTTTTTCTAACTACCACGATGGTAAATATTTAGTAATAATGCATCACACAAAATTTACAAATTACTTAAACTTGTTAAAAAAATAAAATGAGAAAGATCATTAACAAGTAAGAGCCTAATAAGGGAGAAAACTACCCAGGACGACAGTACCGCAAAGTGAATGAAAACTTGAAAGAAACGCTATACCAACCCGTCTGGCCAGCGTGGTATTTGCAGTAGGCCAAAACCTCCTTTCAGGAGAAGCCGATGTCAAATGGCTAAAGTCTGGTAATGATGATTTTGATCGATGAGGTCAGATGAGAGGCATAATAATAATGTATACCTAAAGTAATATCTGGTTATATATTTTGTAAGGTAATTAGAAAAAATCTTATGTAAAATAAAGAAAACATTGATTAACTACATACATAATAAGATGAAGAAACGAAGTTGTGAAAAATAAAGATAATTATTTTAAGTATATTTGTGCCTAAACAGAAATTCCTATTACAAATGTTAAGTAATAAAAAAATGGGCACAAAGATATTATTAAATAGAATTATAAACCTATTATTTATTAATTATCATTTAAAATTACTCACCGAAGACCGAAAGACCGTAACGTCTATTAGGACTTAGTAACTGAAAGATTTCGTAGGAATAAAGTAATGCAGTCGACTATCACCCTCAACCAATAACACAATAATGCTTAGAACGTACGTGACAAAGTCTGTCCCACACATGGAAGGTAAAAATCGATTTACAATAAAAACATTAATTATGTATAGTGTAGATGTGGTGCTTCCCTATTCACTAGTTTTCTTTTTAAAATGTCTAGATTGTATGAGTCGGAATCCAATAGGCTGAGAAAATCGAATGACGCAGTGTTATAAACGGTGACCTTGGTCCTTATGCGGAGACTAGCGGCAACGCCTCTTACAAACAATAGAGAGTGATCTGTAGTCTAAACATCTCTGATCTCTATTATCTCTCCTAAGACTTTTAATAAAAACTGTAATTTAACATCCACGAGTGGGTATACTGGGTATGTCAGGCAACCTGAGACGTTGGTGGATTAAACTGACAAATTGGATCAACTCATCACTGCGTCCTAAAACAAACTCGTTCAATTGGGAATGTTGATAGTTTCAAGGTTATTTTTTCAGTCACCATTGTTTAATCAACCCATCCATTGTTTTGCTATAGATGTGTACGAGTATAAAGAAACTAAATAAAATATTAATAGGGACTAAAGATAAAAGGCTGTCAAAGAAAATGACTTATAATCAACGACCACATTAGCGAAATGCTAAACAAATCTGTGAAAGGCGAAATTACTAATGAACTTAAATATATTAAACTTTTCATTTTAAGAAAAGATACGAAATATCCATTTTGTATTTTCAATCAAATTATCACTTTTATAATTTTACAAGCACATTTGATTTCATTAAGAGATCTTTTCACGTATTTGGTAATCATCAGTTCATTTTCTACTTGACAAAAGGCAGGCAAATGACACAATCAAAAGGCAAAGAGGAATGACAAGAGATTTTTTACTAACTTTCACATCGGTGATATTTTGAAGTCTTTCTAACCTTGAGCTAATTCTGTAGCCTCAAATAGTGTGCAGGATGCGTAATTCCTTAAAAACTTACAGCATATGTAGCGTGTTTGTACTCATGAGAATAGTTTCAGTGAGAAGGTGTTGGGTAGATCATGATTGAGGTCGGTGGTTACATAAAATTTTCAGTTTAATTATGTTTTCTAGACTTCATAAATCAGCCCACGCTCACTAATCTATTTGTCAATAACAAAAATTACAAGTGTATCTACTACAAATAATCTTTATTTTAATGACCATAATATTTATTGTGACACGATTTGTGTTTATCATATCGATCGTTAGCTGCTCTATAGACTGTAATTTCAAGGGTGGTAACGGTATCATGCATATTTAAATAACAGGTCAGAACACGTCATGTTGACATACGACCTTCACGTTGCATACTGGCGACTTTAATATTGTGATGACCTGTTCTGATAATTAATCTTCAATGGTAATGGCCCGAGTAGTCGCACTACTTACCAGATTTGATCTTTTTACTAGGATACTGAACCATCTGATGGCCAGAATGAATCTAAATGAATGAATGATTAAAGGGCTGGCAATTACAGGAACAAGAAGTCTTCAAATGAAACAAGTCGATTACTAATTAACGGCGATGTATCACAAATGCGCTTTTGCACTACCTAATATTTTTAAACAATGTGTTTTGAATTTCAAAATTATACGGTAATTAAACGCCTATTTCACGCAAAATGAGTGAAAATATTATTGATATACATACATACTCGTACAAACATTTTGGTTTGACAGAGGTGATGTAAAACGCCTATGTTTGCCGACTTTTTTAGTCCCACTTTACATAAAAAGGAGCAAGCCTATTGGCGTCAAGCAGGCACATACATTCCTAATGCATTTACAAATTGTAGATAAATTACATCTTTATTTTCGGTGCGGAATTTCTCTTGGATACCACCCACGGGATAACCGGTGGGTAATAATGTCGGACTTCAACCGACTAGGAACCGCAAGCCGTCTCGGGCACCAGTAGAGGGGAGCCAGGTGTACCCTCAAAAGGAAATCCCTGGTACTTCGACGGACCCCGGGCCATTTAAGGGTTGTAGATGACCCCCTCCTGTGTGGGAACCACGATGTTCCTTTCCCACTCAATAAAAGGCGCGACCTCCACCCCAACAGGGTGACAGATGGTCTCACCTGTCATCCCCTGGCCTGCGCTTATAGAGGACTGAGGTTGTTCTGCCACCTCCAGGAGACGGCGGAAGATAAATGGCACAGAACAAATTTTAGTATAGTAGAACCCGCCATGAGTTCAATTCCTCTGGCATTTCAGTGCAGAAAGATCCCTTTCAAACAATTTTTTATGTATACCAAATTGGGTTAAACATTAATAAACTATATATTGAAACTTTATTGAGAGCTTATTTGCTGTTACGAGTATAACGATGTTACATCGGACAACGCACAATGTGGGGTTTCGTAGATTATACCCCTCTTTCCACTTGAATTCGTTAAGTTAATCTCCCAGGGGATTTTACAACACTTACTATTCCACTTCGATCCCCCAGGGGATTATACAACACACAACATTTCACTTCGATCCCTTTTTTACTGTGTGGAAATCCCCTCTGATACCACCTGTCAGTGTACCAGGTGTACCCTACGAAGGAAATCCTTGGTACACCGGGTCAACTTATCTGTGATAGTTTTCTTTTAATTGTTTTTTAGTTCAATTCACAATAAGCAATTCTTCGTTGTTTTTACCGAGTGAGAGAGGTTGTCAGAGACCAAACATCCTCCCTAACTCTGACGGGGCACATAAAAGGTGGCATCGCATTTATGTCTCTTTAGTTGCATGTGTTCATGGGTAGTGATAGTCTCTTATCAGGTGATATGTTAACTCGTTGTCCCCTTATCATCATCGTGATGATCACAATTTTCAGCAGGCGGCAGAATACTGATCATTTTCACTTCAGACCAAGGCCAGAACTATGACAGTGAGAGGCTGCCCACACCAATTGGGGACCCCACTGCCCTTAGGACCATTTATCACTTGAATCCCATAAAATTTCTCAATAAACAATTTCTCGACAGTAAAAATGTCTGTTACTAATAAAATAGTTGTCAAGGGCTACGAGCGCTATTCAAACATCAATTACTCATTTTCCAATCAATTACTCATCTTTCGGAATGACAAAAGTATGTGCGATAGAAATTTAATTAAAACATTTAAACTAACCCGCCATTGAGGCGCTGCTCATCCTTCCGCGTGTAAAATCAATTTTGAGGAATTTATTTAAACCAGATTACAAAAAACTCTATACACAAGTATTATAACAACGTGTGATTGACAGCTGTGTAAAACTACTTTTCTTAAATGAAATGACGGGCTTCCTAATTTAATTAGTGTATGCGGTAATGAAGTGGATAGGTATTTAATATTTATTTTGAAAAATATTTTTTATTGTTGATTTACATTTCATTTACAGTGCCATAAATTCTTATCTTTACCACATCGTTTCAGGAAAATTGTAATGAAAATTTATTATTATTTGTAAAAGAGTTCAAAAGCCCTACTCTCAAACAGAAAAACATGACATTGACAGCTGACACTTAACAGAATGTTGTTTGAGGTTATGTTTTGTGAATTTAAAAACAATGTTCATTTATTACTTCCATTGTAAGTAAAAAGAGTCTTTAAATACACATATTTGATTAATTTCCTGAATTATCACTGCAATGGCTCCCGGCAAGAAAGGAAAACAGTCAAATCATCATGTGAAACGTGAATATGCAGAGCGATTAAATGATTTAAGTATACAATCGTCAGACGAAAGTGACACAGGAGGAAGTAGCTCGGAGGATGAGGGAACCGAAGCTGCATTTTCTGTAAGCATGTGGGACTTGAACCACTGCGACCCTAAAAAGTGTTCAGGCAGAAAACTCCTTAGACATAATCTCATTAAAAACCTAAAACTGGGCCAACGCTTTCAGGGCTTAGTTCTATCACCTGTAGGCAAACAGTGTGTTAGTCCAAACGATAAAGATATTATTGAAAAGAATGGTTTGGCTGTTATTGATTGTTCGTGGGCGAAAATTGATGAAACACCATTTGGTAAAATGAAATCAAACCATCCTAGGCTATTACCGTTCTTAGTGGCTGCTAATCCTATAAACTATGGTAAACCGTACCAGTTAAGTTGTGTAGAGGCATTAGCTGCAGCAATGTTTATCACGGGACATGAGAAAGAAGCAAAGTTTTACCTTTCTAAGTTTTCCTGGGGCCATTCCTTCCTTGAACTGAATTCTGAAGCCTTGGATATGTATGCAGCTTGCACAGACAGTAAGAGTGTGTTAGAAGCTCAAGAAAAGTTCTTACATTCTGTACAAAATGAGAAGGATGGTAGACCAATGTGGCCTCCTAGCGAATCTGACACAGAATCAGAAGATTCATAGTAAAATATATTACTTTTTTATTGTTCAGCATTTTGTTGGTACGAAATTAAAGAATTTAAATATAAGTATATGTATGTATTTCTTTTCTTTATATAAATGTATTTCGCATAGACAGAAAGTTGAAATTTAGAATACTTAAAACCATCTTACATCATTAGTAACTTGTAGCTGAGAGATAAAACAAGAGTTAAGTATTCTAAAAAACTGAAATAGATAAGATCAGAAACCTGTACCAGAAAAAGTTAAGTGCCAATAGTGCTAAGTATGGCTCTTATATGCGTACTACTTACAGTATCTTATCATTTTTAATATATATTTTAAGTTTTGATTAATTCAACAACATGCTATTCCTCCAGGGCTGGCAACACGCTTGTGATTCCTGAGTTGTAGGCTGACTTGGGCGGCAGTAGTTTCTTTCCATTAGGTAAACCGTCTGCTCGTTTGCCCCCTCTTCCACAAAAAAGAAATCAACAATTGGAAATCTATTTTTGAAGTTTAAGATGTAACATTTTCCAATTTATGTAAAATAATTATTTTTTTATTTGGAATCTACTGAACTGTTTTTTGTGGAACTGTATATTATTTATTGTAATTACACCTAGTGATTAACACTGATAGTGATTTTTCATTTTAATATATGTATATTAATAATGTGATGTATATCACCACTTGGGAAAACATCAGTTTAAAAGAAGAATGGAACATAAAAATAGACTATTTAAATGTCTGAATTATTATGTTTTTTACCAAATATGATTGAATAAACTACGTAATAACAATAGCTTACAGTTTTATTTACTCCTCCTTTTAGCCAAACAGAGAAAAGAAAGTTGCTAGTAACTTATAACTAATTTGTGTAAAAAGTGTACAGAATGCACTACGATTAATGTTCCAATTCAAAGCGCCCTCTCTGTATCATTATTGAAACTAGAAAGTAAGTTTCTATTCGAGTATCTAAAGCGCCCTCTAGCTATACATGAAAGTACTAGAAACGTTACCAGCTGTGAGTAATAGATGGAGTTTAAATGCTAATAAAAAGTTTAGGGTCCATGCCGGCCGGTGGGGTTTCAACTTTTTGTTGTATGTGTGCTTGCGTTCAAAGTCGCTCTTCGCTTAGTTTGCTTTTGCTGTCCGAGTGTGTGGGTCGGTTATTGTTGAGTGCAGTGACGGAAAAACTCGCGGAATAACTTATTCATTAGTAACTTACTTTTAAAGTGATCCGTTGGTGTTTGCTAGTGTGTAGTGTTTGTGTGTGATTTTTTTTGGAGCTTCGGACTTCTAGAGAGTAGCTTCAGGAACTTCGGTAAGTTTGTCCGTTGACTTCAATGCAACCTGTCACGCAGGTGTCTCGCAAGTCACTAACCTCTGATGAATACCTACCTTAATGGTCTTAATCGTGGGGCTAGTAAAGATTAGATTTAGCCAAAAAGAAATATACGCTTACCATAACATACAACTTTTTTAAAACTCTACATAATTATAGCGCTTACTGTTTATTAAACACGTCTGGTTATAATTAACTATAACGTCATACAGTAAAAGTGTGTAAGAAAAGTTACTTAAAACACAGTTAAAACTTAATAAAATTACCTGTTATCTGTGCCAAACCGATTACAATTGCCAGTAATTTATTATTGCTACTCCTGTGCTTATCAGTCGAAGTTTGATGTTATCTCATTTATAACCAAAACTGATAGCTACTATATAGCTGTATATACCTATAGGTACTACCTTTAAATTATGTATATTTGAGTGACTGGTAAGATTACAGCTTATACTCGTAGATTTCTAATTATTATAAGTAACTGTGCAAACAACCAAACTTTCAACTTTGTAATATCAATTTACCAACCCAAATATCTGTGTTCAATAAATGTCAAATGGTTATTAAACGGTCAAATTAGAAAAACAGTTATGAATTACTTAAATGAGAGTTAGGTTCCTATTTTCATTTTTTCCCAACACTATACTTGGTTTCTAACTCAACACGCGTCTAAAAGAAAAAAATCCTTTTATTTTATTTTTAAATAAGAAATCAGTTACATTTCTCTTACCTACTAACAATATCAGTAGAAAGTTCAGCGTGAGTCGAGTTGTTCATCCATCCTAGAAGACAACTGTTTACAGTTGTTTCGATCGAATTGCAATGATCGTGTTACTGCAATTCGAACGAAACACCTATCACCAAAAAAAAATTTGGATCTTGTAATTTTTACCTACGATTTACACATCTAATATAAGTAAACTAATCACGAATCTATAACATAATCGCGAAAGTTTGTAAACAAGAAAATACAATCATAAAACCTTGCGCTCTAGGACTGTGAGAAAACCGGGACGCATAAAAGATACTTATTGTCCGAGTAACTCTGGCCGCATTACAGTCTTTTTTATTCTGTGCTTAAATCCCCTCGGATACCACCCACCGGTGGTATGTCACACTCGAACCGACCAAAAACCGCACGCAGTCTCGGGTACCAGTTGCCGGGGAACCAGGTGTACCCTAGAAAGGAAATCCCTATTACTGGCCGCGTTACCTAACAGAAGCAGGCCCAAGACGGTGGCGTGTGATGGTGTTACGTACATTGTGACTACACCATAGCCGCTGGACGAGCAAGGAACCACTCTTTGCTCGTCCAGCGGCTCAAGTGTGCAGGGCTCTTTTCATTCTTGCTTATTTGTGTAGACCCGGTTAAACTGCAATGAGCCTTATGTGGTTTAGTTTAGTTTGAATTCCGATGTACCACTTAAACGTTACTTCCTCTGAAGTGATGACCCTTGGGGGAAGTCTAATATAAGTTTATAAGTAATTTTATTTACAATTCAAGCTGGAAGCAGATTACTATTTATAGGCATGGGTACTTTCAGTCACGGTTTCTAAGAAAATAATTGTAGAGGGTCGAGGGTTGCATTCAACCATCTAGTTAAAGACCACTTACCAAGAAGTGAAATATAAATTAATTCGCCACCTTAGTGTACAGAAGTCCGTGTGGTGACGGATTAAGATTACGGAGTGTCACCACCTTTGTTCGTCCCGTGGGTGTCGTAAGAGCCGGTTAAGGGAGCAAAACAACGCAGGACAACAGCACTGTAAAGAGAAGGAAAAGTTGACACAAACCCTATACCAGCCCGTCTAGCCAGCGTGACCAAAACCTCCTTTCTAAGGAGTCCAGCAGTGGACTATTAGAGGCTGTTGATGATGATGATGAAAGAAGATTTCAGTCCTACCTTCTACGAGTACCTGGCTGCTTAAATAGTTTAACCAACCCTTATTTAAATATGAAAAATGTTGGTTTTGACATGTGTCACATTTTTTCCTATTATTTGGTGATATTTGCAGAAAATTTTAATGTGAATTAAATTGGAAAGTTTCTTGTTGGAAAGCTAGTTGGTACTAAAATGCACAGAAGTAAAAGAAATAAAAATGTAAAATAGTGTTTATTTACATTGGTTTTCCTCCCAGCCTGTCTAGGCTGGTGTGGCGGAATTACTTGCTCTGTAAGTTGACATTTTCTATAGTGTATATTTGAGTGTACCAACCCTCTGTCTCTAATGTACTCGTATTGTGTTTTTCAAACACAAGCATGTATACTGTGCATTTAAGTAAAATTATGGAGTTGCTTCTTATTGTCCAAACAAGAATAACCGAACTAAAACGTTTGTTTAACGCAATTTCAGATAATACCTCTGGCTTATTTATTCACTCTATTTCACCTTTATAGATATAGCCTACCTTTATTCAATAATTCCGAATAAATTTTGTATTAGTTTTAACATTATTCCGAGTTATAAATAATATTGATTACAAAACTTAAATAATTTAGGTTTACACTGTATTTAATATAATATAATAATACAGCGTGTAAATATTATTTACGCGGTGATTTATTAATGTTCGGAAGTAACATAAACAGATCTGGAAGTGATATATTTCTGTAATATAAGATATGATTTTTTACAATGCTTAGAAGTCGTGTACGTTACGGTTGAAACATTTGCTAAAGTAGGAATGAACAGCCCAGAAAGTCTGGGTATAGAGACAGAAGACATTTATATTGGCAGATAAAGGAAAAAGGCTCTGTCTTAAGAAGCTTTCTTTTCTACCTCATTGGGAATACAGGCATGAGCTTAGATGTGTAGATGTAGATCTCGACGGACTCTACAGATGCTGCTTATCTGTAGAAATATGACACTAATTGTAATACTGATTTACATCGATCTTTTCAAAGTCTAATCTTTTAGTTTAACGGTTTCTCCTATTCTAGCAACAGGCTGTTGTCTCCAACCATTCTTATTAAAGTTTAGTGCTAAAATTATTTAAACGATCGATACTTTTCTTGTCACTCTGTTTATCCTCGTTTTTGCTTATTTAAGAGTAAATACAGTAAAAGAAATAAAATTTTTTGTGTATACTAAATAGTACTTGAATCAAAATCCATCACTAAATTATTTTTCAGGTAAATATGTTATGACGCACCATTTGTCAAATACTGTATTTGGTAAGTTCGATAACTCTAACAACTACCATACGACACAAGCGTCCAATTGAGTTACTTAAATCATCTTCTATGTTACTTTGATGGCGGTGATGTAACATTCAGGTTACCAATACAGAAATGAAACCAGTACACGGGGACACAGTGTCGAACGATAGCTCTTCAAGTGCTTGGTGCAGTTACAGCAATCAATCAGGTCTGTCTTTTCGCCGGCTATCACCCCTACAAGGTGCTAGAACTGACCGCATTTTACAAGAAAAATACATACCACTGAAAGAAAATAATTTATTGGAAAAACTGGTTAAAACCAGGGTATTATATGAGGAGCTGAGACATCAAATATTATCCAGTAGTCTTAGTACATCTAGCAAAGGAAACTTAATATCGGCGACACAGCCATTAGTTGTTGGTAAGCATCTTTTCAAAGCGAATAAGAGTAAAATTATTCAGTTAGTGGATTTGGTGGATAAAGGCGTTATCTTAAGACCGGAAAAATTGTGTGAATGTTGTGCGTCTTCCCATTATAACTCTAAAACAAGATACGAATATGGGCCGAAAGAACGTGGACAAAGACAAATCCACACTGGCGGCTACTTAACGTCAAAATCAAGTATTATTTCAAAGAAAACAAGTATTGGAGATTCTTGGTTGGAAATAAGGTTTAAAACGAAAAACATTAAATCAGACCCATGCACTTTTAGATTTAAGGAATTCATGAAACAAAAGTCGAGAGAAGCACTTAAAAGGAATCCCGTAGTGCAACCCTTTAGTATCGATGGATTATTAAATAAAAAAACACATAAATTGAAAACGCTCCAAGCCTCATTTAATTGATGGCGTTAGGTTATCTGTCTCGAAAATAAAACAAAAACAATCGCTCAAAGATATAAAGAAATCTATATCTATAGCAAAAAAATCTTTGGATACTGTAATAAGCCATCGCCATTTTTTGAAAGTCAAGCCTTGTTGTTGTTCAAATGTAACACAAAATACGTCAACTACAGATTACCCAATTGGGATTGTTAAGAGAGAAATTAGTCATCGGAAAATGCAGGATTCGAAGTCTGATATGAAAATTAAACAAAACTGCTATGTAGACCATTGGAATTATAATTTTGAATGTTCTACTGAGCTGTCTCCCCGGGATTGTTCAGGAAGAAATAATCACAGAATAGCAGATAGTTTTTTAAAATATTTGCCATTCACATCGGATGTAAAGGAGCACGCAGAATACAGTAGTAATAGGGAACTAGAGAAAAGTAAATCATTTAAAAACAATATATTAGCTAAACGTACCTACAGCTCAAAAATTCTCAAGCAAAATGAAAATCTCAGTGTATTAGGATTATGTCAGACGATTAAGTCAAAAGAAAACTCTTCTTTAGTTCTACAAGGGCAGAATAGTACACACTTGGCTAAAACAATCAGCATGTTGTTGGCTACTTGTAAGCGATCCGCACGACTTGTGTCAATTGACTCCATGCCTAAAGTAGATTCAGGTTTATTAATAAATGAAACCAATTGCAAAACACTTGCAAACTCAAAACTATTAAGTAGCATGCCGGTAGAAGTAAAAAAAACAAGCGCTAATAAAAACAAAAAAATGTATAAAAATATTAACATGTTACCGTCAGACTGTTGTACTGACTTTGAAATGAAGGTAATGGCGTCCAACTGTACAGTGCATAAAAAAAGGAGCCTAGACCACAGCAAACATTCAAATTCCTGTCAAGAGACAAATAGGAAATCATCAAATATTCGCTTTAATTTTAGCAAGAACCTTATTAAATCTCCTTGTTTTAGTGAAAATGAAACAAAGAATATAACTAAAAATCAGCACACTAAACTTGATCACGTTAGACAAGAAATTCAAAATCACTCTTCGTTACGTGATAAAGCTAGAGTTGATCCCTCCACCTTTGTCCAACATCACAAAGATAAGCGTAATCTTGATAGAAAATTACAAGAACATAGGCAAAAACGAATAAGTAAAAGTATCAAAATTGGCAGTCACGCTCTTAAAAGATGCTTTTGCACATTGAAACTCAAAACAATGCATATCAACAATGAAAGACACAAAATACCATATATAAATGAATGTATTCCTTCTAAAACCTTCATTCACATTAAAAAGAGGTTGCCATGTGAACTATTTCTATGCGCTTCTGGGGAACATGTTTCGACGAAATGTAATTCGTGGAAAATCCAATATAACACTAGCTCAAAACTAACATCCAAATCACTCACTGCCCTCGAACAATACCGCACTATAACAAATCTACTACAAGTAAAAACATCACGTAACGAAAGTTGCAAAATTGCAACCAATTATAAGAACATTCTTGAAAATTCTTGGCCCGTCAAAAATAAAAAGTCAGAAACAGGATGCTCTTTGGACAAAACAAAATGTAAATTTAAAAAACCGTGTTCACATAAGTACTTGTGTCCGTTGAATCAATCAGGAATCAAATCGGGAAATATTATTCCCAAGACTACAAAACTCTCAAAATCAACAATTGTGTCCTTGGGTCATATTGTTCCCAAAAGAGTATCTAAAGAATCGGAATTAGTATTAGATGCTGTACCTTCTTTAACTAAACGCAAACCGTTCTATAGAACCCCTACCTTTGAGCAAAGGATTTTCAATAATCCTATTACAGGAGTAGTCATCATCAATGATGCTGAAAGTACCATTACACCATCAGTTAAACGCCGAAAGACTAAATCTGGTACTTCTAGATCACAACCTGTTTACAAATTACTTGAAATTAATAAAGTTCAATCTAATGCAAATACTTACAACTACTCCCTCCTATCAAAAAACAATGAAGTTCATAGAAATCACCATAGTGAATCTCAGAAATTTATAGGTAATGATCGCAAAGAATTATTAAAGGGAATTTGTATGTCGAATCACAATATTATTCACGAAAATCCCGAATATTTTAATAAGAAACATACTAATATTTTAAAAAGCAATTGGAAAGGCTCACCTCTTTCAAAGAAGTATAAACTTGTTAAAATTCAAAACGAGACATATTTAATGATTACTTCTTCTAGTAAGCATATTTTCTCAACTTTACTAAAGAGTAATTGTATGATAAATGATAATGCTACTCGTAAATATAAACATATAATCCGAAATGTTGGCAACAGGAACAAGTATTGTAAAGAGAGCAATACGGAAAAAGGTAATACAACGGAATTATTAAGAAAACCAAGATATATACAAGTTCATGCCAATGAGCCTCAAAAATCAAAAATGAATAAACGCGTGGAAAAAGGTAGGTACCGAAAAAATGAAATAGCAACACAAGTGCCTCAAAATAATTACGAATCTCATATCTGTGAATCGAAAGGTCTATACAAAAATGTCCAATTTGACGAAAAATATAAAGCAAAGTGGGGTAACGTTAAAAATTATAAAAAGGTATCAAAAGATAAATTTAATAGCGTACAAAATCCCCAAAAGCAACAATGCTTTCTTCGAAAGTCTTCTAGTATTATATCGATTTCATCAACGTTTGCAATAAAATCCCAAACTTTACAGTCTAATTTTCAAAGTAAATTTAAAATCTTTCACCTTAAATCTAGTGATGAAAATGAAACATTTCAAATAAATTCCAGTTTGCTATCTAATCCGAGAAAAAGAAATGTAATGACCCAATTTAGCGGACGATCCCTAGACATTAAACCGTCAGTTAGTAGTGATGCTATTTTATATTCCTCAGAAATTGTTCAACCACTGAATCCTCATCTTACTGGGATTTCATCATTATTACGAAGGTGTTTCTGTACTATGAATTTACATGTAGGTGATGGAGGGGAATCAAGCAAATTTCAATATAAACTTAAGCCTTACGAATGTGCACCATATGACTGTGTTCCATACGAATGCGATCCCTACGAATGTGAAAAAAAAATAACAAAACGATTAACACGAAAAGTGTCAAGTACACAAACAGATAGAATATTAAAATCTAGTTCAAACGAAACTTCTAAAAATAAAAAGCATCAGTTAGTTTCTATGAGTGAACCAAAAAAGTCTAAATCACATAGAAAAGTCATATGTGATTGTCGTTCAAATTATAGTCCGAAAGTAAAAAGTTATGAAAAGAAACCATATTCTAAAACTTCTTATAAAGTTATGAAAAAAGAAAGGATTAGGAGCGATAGAACTTACAGACATATTGGTCACAAAACTCAATCAAGCATAAGAAAAGTACGCAATAAATCGTCTTCAATAGGGCCTATGTTAAAAAGATGTCTTTGCACCGTAAAATTACTGAAAAATGAAGAAAAAAATAAAACTTCAGATGTTAGTTCTGTGAGTACATCTACACAGTCAACAAATAAAGGACGCAATGTACGCCTAAATAAAAATATAGGAAATGACAAGCACCCAGAGTCAAAAACTAACAGAAGGAAAAATACTAGAGATCCTGCTTTAAATGTATCATCTAGTATACAATCATACCAGACAAAGAGAAAAAGAAAATATATTGGGTCTAAAAGTGCTTATGAAAAACCGGTTAAGTCAAAAGAACAAAGAGAACGAAAAATATTGTCTACACCATCAGCCAGGCATGCAGTCAGAGTAGGTTCAAATTTTAGTTTTAGCTTAGAGTTTTATAAAGATAAAACTGAAAGAAAGCCTTCCAACGAAGTGTATGAACAAGAAAATCGAAAATATATAGGCCTCAGTCCAAACCGCAGTTTCAGAAACCTAATTACCCAAAAAGATAAAAGTCTTACCAACACAGGTTCCCAAGCATCACCAATAAGACAAGAGCAACCAGCTATTACAGGATCTTTTTTAAAACGTTGCTTTTGTATTAAAAAAAAACGATCACCAAAAACAGCTTCTAAACATACTACTACGGGAAAAGAAGGAATCATTGATTGTCAGTGTAAACGTAGTCTTAGTAAAATAGAATGTGAATGCGAAAAATTCATTAATAAAAAACAATCCATGGACAAAGCATCCGGGACTGATAAACATCGAGGCTTTGTCTTAAAGAAATGTGACTGTATAAAACTTATAAATAAAGGGCAATCTATTGATAAACCATCCTGGGCTGATAAACATCCTCGACTCTTAGTTTCAAAGGAATGTGAATGTAAACAAGTTATTGACAAAAAACATCACAGGAGTATAGGATCTGAAACTGAAAAACAAGTAACAAAATTTAAATCATCCAGTACTACATCTTCGAAAACTTCAAAAGCACGGATTTTACACTCGTCACAATACAGACAACTAAAACCAAATTTATTGCCTGAAACAGTTCGTAACGAAGAAATAGGAGGATCTTCGCAAAGACAAGCAGTAAGGATTGGTTCAAATTTTAGTTTTGAAATTGAGTTCCATAAAGATGTGCAGTTTCCCAGCGATGAAAAAGTGCAAGCAGCTGCTGAAGCCATTAAAGAGACTAGAGATAAAATGAAGGACATAAGACAAATGGCGGCAGTTAGAAATAAAAGCCGTATAGGAAATTCCCTGTACAGCATTACGTCTGAAATAAATACTTCAAACAAAGCATCTAAAGCCGTTGGTCCACTGCTACGGAAATGTATTTGTAAATGCAGCCATCAAAATAATGAATCACTTCAAAATTATAATAATAAATCTAAACATTCCGTACATCGAGGAACAGCAACACCTGTTAGCCGTCCCATTCCAAATTTTCACAACAGAGGTGTAATGACTGTCTACAAATTAAAAACTTATCCGTATAAGTTAGCACCTTACGAATGTGAACCAGGTGTATGCATTCCTGGGGAATGTGATCCTTATGAATGCTTAAAACGCATGAACAGGAGACACAGAGGTTCGAGCACAGATGGTTACTCAACAAAATCTGCATTAAGTATGACGAGACCTGCCCGTAGATACAGAGATAACACAGTGCAATTTTCTCCACGAGATAAAAGACCGCATATTAGAGAAGTCAATACAAGGCCACGGGAAGGTATTGAAGTTAGGCAAAAGCCAAGACAAAACAAGACCAGACAAGCGGTAAGAATAGGTTCTAATTTTAGTTTTAATGTGGAATTTTACAAAGATAAATCACAAGGTGGTATTGGTGGTATTGGTGGCACTGGTGGTATTGATGGTGTTGGTGGCACTGGTGGCATTGGTCGCACTGGTGGTATTGGTCCTAAACCTTGTCCCAAACCTTGCCCTGAACCATGTCCAGAACTTTGCCCTAAAACTTGTCCAAAACGGTTTATGAGCAGCGGTACGGATGCCGCCAATGTTAATTATAGAAATAAGAAAGCTCAACGTAAAAGAGGACAGTTGCATAACAGGGAATCGCAAGTCTGGAGTAGAAAAATGCGTTCAACTATGACAGGGGTAGGCCCTTTCTTGAAGCGGTGTTTCTGTACATTGCAGTTACAAAGACGGCATGAAAAAGTGTTACCACGTAGAGAGGAGAGACGTGATTCAGACAGTAGTTCAGTTGGTACAGAAACGGCTAGGTTTCGACCAGAGCCACGTTATAAGGAACAGGGCACTAGACCAAGGAGAAGCCACAGATACCATGGAAGAAAACTTGACCCAAATGAATGTGAACCTGGCGTATGCATTCCTGGTCAATGTGATCCATATGTTTGTTTGGAACGGATCAAAAGACGAGGTGTGCACACAAGACACGCTGGTACTGGCGGCAGGTACAGAATGCATTCAGTTTCTAGTTCTATGACAGAACCTGGCCATCGACGACATAGAAATAGATCAGTTTCTAGTTCAATGATTGACCACAGCCGTCCTCGGCCTCGTGGCCAAATAACTCACAATCAGCATAGGCATAGGAGAAATGATAGAGCGAGCCTAGTAAAAGAACGAACGGCGTACTCTCCTGCACCAACTTCTCATAGGCAAGCCGTTCGTATTGGATCAAGTTTCAGTTTCAATATCGAGTTTTATAAAGATCGAAATGAACAGGCTCCGCATGTTTCTGCTCCTGTAGGTAACCGTCGAGTGCACGGTCGTCCTTCAGGTGCACCTGTTGGATATATCAAAAGACCCGTACCTGGTAGAAGATTACGCACAGATAGTACGGGAAGTGGCCCAATGTCAACCAGAACTAGAAGTATGTCGTCGTCTTACAAGAATAATTTAAGAAATCGGGGTATGCAAGCTCACTCAAGAACATTGTTGAAAAGATGTTTTTGCACATTAAAACTTCAAAAAATTGGCACACGTCAGAGGCAGACACAAGAGAGTACAGCTTCGATAGGCACTTATTACAAAGCAGCTGGTGCGCAAATCAGACAAAAACAGGAAATTGTACCTCAGTATCGAGACTTTGGCACCAGGACCAAAAGACGACGTCTAGAGCCTTACGAATGTGAACCTGGCGTATGCATACCAGGTCAATGCGATCCTTATGAATGTTTAGAGCGAATAAAACGAAGGCATTTAAGACATTCAGGAACTGGAATGGCATATCCCCACACGAGGTCAATGTCTAACCTTACTCCTTATAACTTTAGAACTACGTCGATGAATACTGCAATGGGCGTCTATAGGACACCAGGAGAGAAATATCACAGAAGGTATACAGAATCACCACGACGAATCAAGCAACCACCACCTCGTCCTTCGAGAGCTCTAGAAAATATTCACAACCGTCAAGCAGTTCGTCTAGGTTCTAGTTTTAGCTTTAATGTCGAATTTTACAAAGATAGATCTGGTAAGTCAGGTAGGTCAGATAGGTCAGGTAGGTCAGGTAGGTCAGGTAGGTCAAATAGGTCAGATAGGTCAGGTAGGTCAGGTAGATTAGGGGTGACCAGAGAAGCTCCATGTCGACCTTTAGTATGCAAGGGACCCACATGTAGTCCGGCAAAATGTAAGACCTCCACCTGTAGTGCGTCTTGTCCAGTTAAAGGCTATCAACGAAGTAGACCCGTACAATATCAAGGTGGAGGCCATGATAGAATGGTACAAGCAAGAAATGCAAGAACAGAGTCCCGGGGATCTGGGGTACCTTTATTGAAACGTTGTTTTTGTACCTTGACACTGCAGCGAGCAGAAGTGAATTCTTATATGGTTCCACTTAGGGCCAGACTCTATTCTGAAAAATCAACATCAACCAAAAATAAATATTTTTATTCAGAGTCGGAGCAACAAGCAAATCTTATGTCGAAGTGTTGTACACCTAACATATGTGTGAGCGAGTGCGATCCGGATAACAGTGTCGAACCAATTAAAAAGAGAGGGCTCAGACGTATATCCAGAACAACCGGTAATCACATGGTCAGATCACGAAATTCATCCAGTTGGTATAGAAGGCATCCATCTGAAAAAGTAGAGACTATAGTCGAAGAACCTCGTTTCAAAATTTTTAACAAGCCAAACACTAAGCAGACTGTCAGAATTAGTTCGAATTTTAATTTCAATATTGAGTTTTTCAAAGACATTCTGTTCCCTGAGCCTTGTGAGGTGGAAGAAGAGTTTGACGAAATGTCAGCAGTCACTGAGGCAATAAATCCACAGCTTAAAAGAAAAAAAAATCGTGAAGATCATTACAAACCTTCTTACGGAGGTAATAAACAATTCTATGCAGAAAACTATCACCCTAAATACAAACATAAAAATATTCGTGAATCTATCTATGAAGGTGATAAACTGTTCTCCATAGAACATTATCGACCCAAAATTCGTTCACATAAATCACTGACTGGGAAAGAACAAGACGAACACAGAAAAAAAATAAAACCTGGAAAAGAACTTGGTGAACATAGCAAAAAGTTAAAACCTGAAGTTAATAAACTCAGTAAAAAAACGGGTGGACCCATTAATAAGATGTTTAAATGCTTATGTTCACCTAATGAAGGAAAGAAATATAAATGCCAGTGCCCGTCAACTGAGCTCAAAGGAAAGAAAATCTCAAACCTAGGTAATAAGTCAAAGGTTGCTGAAAATATTTTTGCTAATAAAACTACCACAATCGCACGAGTGGAAATGGGTTTCTATAAGCAAAGATTAAATAGAATGCCGCCTACATTAAATTCACCAAAATTTGATTTGACTAAACAGCCCCAACATGCAAAAGTTACATTAGGACAGATAAATGAAAATAGCAAAGCATTGACTGTCTGCCAAGTTCCAGAAAAAAGTTCAATCTCGAAAATATTGTACCTATACTCACCTAAACTATTCTGGACAGCTGAAAATTCGCGTTCTAGACCTTGTACGTTCAGTTCCAATGTTCAATCAATAACATCATTGCAGGTGACAGAAGAAAAACCTTCTTTAAAATTGTTACCAACAAAATTTAAAGTATTCTCTAAAGCTCATGCACTTCCAATAAGAAATATTTTAGTTTTTGTATCCTCGGAAAAGAGTAAAGCTAAGGTTGCTGTAAGTCAAAAACATTTTAGTTTACCAAACAATCCGTGTTCTGCAATGTGGCCGAAAACAAAGTCTTTTCACAATCGCCCTTTTAAAGCTGATATGCGATCACGGATAGAAACAAAATTTGTGACCCAAAGGTATGTCAATTCAAAAATGCTACAAGGACTTTCTAAATTTTCCAAGTCTTGTGAATTACTATGTTGTAAAATTACTTCAGACGGAGTGAATGAAACTAAGAATAAAATAACAAAGTCGGGAATGCTATTAAAATTTTTATGCTCATCGAAATTAAGAAAAACAAAATCTGAAGATGTGGGTTTGATCAATGAAGATGTATGTAATTCTATGATTGTAGTCAAGTCGAATTGCAGTACATGTAACACTTCGTATAAAAATTTGCAAAAAAAATGCTTTTGTACGACGCAAGTTGGCAAGATAAAAACTGAACTGTGTGAGTCTGTCATTTCTGTTGCAGGAATTGATAAAAGTAGACCTTTATCGATATTTACTCCGAAAGAATATTGGGTACAGTATCAAATACAACATCCTAAGTCAAGTAAGTGTCACAAAGATAAACAAATAGTTACTCACAGTGAGTCTAACGAGAATCAACCGGCATATAAATTAGAAACTATTATGCCTTATGTTCCTCATAAATTTCATAGAATGAAAAGCAAAATACTATTTAATCAAGTGCCTAAAGTAAAATGTAACAATATTTGTTGCTTATTTTGTCGAAGCAATTGTAAATTAGAGGCAAAAGGTTCATCTGATAAAGACAGTACCTGTTTCTCGGCTTGTGAATATCACAATCAGATACCGCGAAAACCTATAAATAAAGTGTTTAAAACTAGTAAGAAATTTATGATAATTAAAAATGAATCTAATATAGGATCAATAAAAATAGAGCCATGGGATCCGTCTCGCACAAATTTACAAACACTTATCTGCAACTTTATACGTGCAATATCATCAACAAAAAGAATTATTCATCATTGTTTCGTTCTTAAAACTTCTAAACATTGTATAAAATTTACCCCTTCTGGGTTTTATTCTAAAAGTTATAAACGCTCAATCGATAAATGTACATTTAAAACTTCGTCTCGTAAAAAGTATATTACTATCAACAAATATCAAAGGGCGATAAACTCTGATGGGGTAGTCAATTTTATTAGTTCACGTAGGACAGGTATAAAATTAGTTAAAAAACCTCACGGTTATTGTCAAGCTCATCGTAACCACACTTGTCAGTATAGACATATGCCATCTACCCGACGGATTTCAAAAGCTAATACAAATGTAAGTACTTCGCATGAAAATGAAATGGAGATATTTTTAGTGCAATCTGGCTCATGCAAAGTCTTGAGAAAAAGTATAGATAAACCAATAAATAAAAGTGAAAACGCCAAGTCACCCGCTCAAGCAGTGTTATTATCTTCATCTAGTTTTTATAATAGTAGCACATCTGAGTTCCTAGAGAGACAAAGAAAAATATCGTCCCATTCAGTTAAACTCATTAAAGCTACGTCTAACCTAAGAAATCTTTTGTGGTGTTCGAATTGTAATAACTATAAAATAAATAATATTGTCCGATCTTTTATAAGTAATTATAAAAAGAGATTCCTTCCATCCAAATTTAATGAACATATATATTTCCAAAAACTTTCCAAGGATCGTAAGAAATCTTGTCTTTGTTATTTTTGTAAGAAAAAATGTATTTCAAGGTACCCCAAATTCAGAAATAAAATTAAATCTAAAAACGCGATAGACTTTACGATTGAGTGCAGTATGAGTTCAAATCCTGTCAAAGATATTCAAAATGACCGCTTTGAAGATATTGTTATTGAATCCCTTGATTTGCGTGATAGTGAGACTTGTGTTGCTAAAGTTAATAAAGAAACGACGGATACAGAAGATATAGAGAGTAAAAAAAGAGATGAAGAAGAGATATCAGAATGTTTAAAAGCCCTTAAACAAGACGATTTTGAGAAGACTAAACAAATTGTTAGGAATTACAATTATCATTTGTTTATGACCAAGATGTTGATCTGTATGACTAAAATGGGATTAACAAATCCGAAAAACGCAGTAGGCACTGACTATGGGTCGGCTTTTAATCCCAAACGTGCTTACCGGCACTTCAAGTGTATATTACTTAATATTAAGGCTGGATTAAAGTGTGCATCTGGCGACCATACTGACACTGCTTCTTTAAAACAGAAACGATCAAATTTTGCAAAAACAATCAAAAATTGCCTGAGTAAACCTACTTCTAAATGTTTACAAAGTTTTAAGCATATAAGAAAGCTACATAAAAGAATGCTACCAAAATTTTTGCGAGGACGTAAAAACACTGTTGACTTAGGTTTCAATGCCTTAGATATAGCCTGCCCTCAGATTAAACCTCAGTTTAGTATTTACTACATGATGCCACATTTTTATCCTCATTTCCTCACCTTAGTAAGAGTATGGAGGCAATTGATAGATGTTTTGCTGTTTGTTTTGTGGAGTCCGTGTTTATTTAGCGCACACTTGTGTAAGGCTTTCTTGTGTTGCCTTATACGGTTCAGATTACATTGCTATTTGAAATAAAGTGTATGATTTTGACTATGTTTTATTCTTTCTAATGAGACGCATTGCATCATATCGGTATAAGTAATTCAAGCCTAATAATGATTAAGATTCGAAAATGTAAGCTTTTGATTAGTTGACGGTATTTCGACACTTTGGTGCTGGATAGGATCAAGATAACCTTCTTTAAAATTGGTTTTAGTTAAGTTCACAGGGGAAAAATGAGTCTCGTTCTAATAAAAAGTAAGTTTAGTATTATAGGCACTAGGATTTTAGATTAGATTTTAAGTTATTTTTTCATAAAATAAACTCGCATAACCACCTACCAGGTGTCATGAAAATATGAAGATGAAAATCATGAGCGGTTTGCCCCAATAGCGCATCGTAGAAGTTATAGTGGATTTGAGCCAGTCCTTTTCCTGAGAGGCTAGTCCTGAGCACAGTTTAGGGCACAATCATCGTCCGACATGCCACCGCCATGTGGTATCCGAGGGGATTTCCGCACGGAAAAAAAAAGGGCACAATCATCAAGTTAAAAAAGCAAGCCGTCCCAATTTATCAAGTTACGTATACTTGTCTATTTAGACTGCTCGGCCAGTGTCGTAGAAAAAAAAACGACTACGTCATCGTCACATTACGAAAAAATATTGTAAAATACTAACAAAGAACGTCGCAAATTCGTATATCCAATACTCAGAAGTGGTAAGGGTTTAACCATCGCCGCGCGGTCGAAACATGGAGAACCGCGCAGCCACGCAGTTCCCTTAAACGGAGCTTAGTAGAGGTCCCATTCTTATGGCTATCCACTGGTACGATTTCAAAGAAAATGTAGACAATGCTTGCAATGGAAAGCCCTAATGCTTGGACTCCATGCTTGGACCTACCGAACTTAAATGCTATGCTGTGGCCACGCGGTTGACATATGGAGATCGTTCGGCCATCCTTCCAAATAAGAAATAATTTTTGTAATCGGTTTACAAATGAAGTTTTGAGGTAACAAACATGACTGCGTAACAAGCTTTTTTTTATCTAAAAGTTTTGTAATCTTATATATTACTGTTTTGAGCACATATCTCTGTAACCCAACACAAACACCTAACAAATATGTTAAAAGAAAAAACCAGGTAAATACATGATTAGATTTTTGAAAGAGTTATCCTCTAACTCCTTAAGGTCAAGGACCCTTCCACCATCAGCTCAGCAACATGACATAACATCTACTAAACGCAAATCATAGCTAGACAAACAAGCTAAAAAAAAACAAGTTGTCGGGCCTGTAAAATTTGAGGGTTTCCCTCGATTTCTCTGGGATCCCATCATCAAATCCTGATTTGGTGGTTATGGACCACGTCGGGAGTATACCCTTTCGATTACAAAAAGAATTTGGAAAATAAAAAAATAAAAATCCAAGTCGGTTCACAAATGAAAGAGTTTTGAGGCAACGAACATGAAAATAACTGCGTAAGTTTTTTGTCTAAATGTTTTGTAATATCTTGAAGAATAAAACAAGGTCAATACATGATTAAATTTTTGAAATAGTTATTTTCTAACTCCTAAAGGTCAAGGATCCTGCTGATCCTGAGCTGATGATGGAAAGCTCAGAAACATGACATAACGACTACTAAACGCAAATACCTATAAAGCTAGAGAAATAAGCTAAAACACGTTGTCGGGCCTGTAACGTTACAGGGTTTTCCTCGATTTCTCTAGGATCCTGTCATCAGATCCTGATTTGGTGGTAATGAGATCACCTCGGGAGCATACTCCTTTGATTACAAAACGATTTAAAAAAAAAAAAGAAAACCAAATCGCTGTACAAATAACGGATCAAACATGAAAATAATTGCGTAACAAACATCTTTTTTGTCTAAATGTTTTGTAATCTCATGTATTATTTTCTTGTGCACATTTTCGGTTACAAAAAGAATTTTGCAAATCGGCCCACAATTGACGGAGATATCGCGTAACAAACATACAAAAAAAATACAGATGAATTGATAACCTCCTCTTTTGTGTTTTTGAAGTCGGTTAAAAATAACGAAAACATACAAAAAAGCGGTGAACGGACTATGTACACGACTAATATTTTCAAAAAATGTATGCACTCTTCCGTGTCCATTGCGGCACGCTCATTATTTGTTGTACTCCAAAGGTCAACGACCACAATCCCCTAATGTTAGAGGGTGGACTACAGAATTGTTTTAAAAATGCATCCCCCAAATGTAAAGCTGTTCCATGAATATTATCCTTTCAACTTTTGTAATTTGTATCATTGAGCCTTCGTCTTTAGTCGAGCTTTAGTTTTTCATTTCTTGTTCAAGACAATAATTACCAATATCAATCAAGATCATGACTCTTATTGAATTACTACTATTGAAATAAACCTACTTATTTCGATTTATTCCCAGTAGTTCTATGAAGCCAGTTCCATATGTTACTGATGTAAACTTGAAAATGCATTTTTGTATCATTTGTTCCATATGATTTTATACTACTTTTACAGCTTTTTTGCATTACATTAAATGTACACAACGTATCTAACTCATTTAATTGGATGAGGAATAAATTGTTTAAAATAACTTCGTAAATAACCCATAATATTTTTGTAAAATTTAAAAGATATAAATTGTTACTGTGGGTTATGGCCTTTTAAGATAGACATATACCATTGCTGACTTTTTGTCGATCTTTTTAAGATATACAATTCCGAAGTAAATTATTTTAGTCCATCTCGTAAGGTTTAGCGTTTGCAATGTAAACGCACAAAAACATGTTTCTTTCGAGAAATTTTTGAAATTCTCCGATTTTCCCTACTATGATATGCATGCATGTTCACATATAAACTTTCCTCTTGAATCACTCTCTCTATTGGTGAAACCCGCATTAAAATCCGTTTAGTTCAAAACTACGAATAATAATTTCTCTGGAACAGTAATACGAGGTAATTTTTGCCCTCGATTTCGGTTTCGACAACGAAACACGAACCACATGAGTAGATAATCGGAACAGAGACAAAGCTTATTAAGAAAACATCTTCTTAAACAAAACATTTGTGAAAGAGTTTTCTTATTCAGTATGATAGAATACTTTAGAAATTACTTTAATAATTTTCTTTTTATAATTTTTATTTTTTAATTATTTATTGTTTCTTTTAATGGTGTAGTAAATTCTGAATCTAACATAATTTTTTGTCATGTAATCTAACGGGAAACACACATGGCATCTCAAATCTATAATCTTTAATACGTGTAAGCATTTCGTTGCCCACATAGACAATATTTATTTCAACAAATGCGATAAAATTATCAGGAGGTTTAATTAAAAACCCAATTGTACGTTACCACCATTAAAATCCTTGTAATGGCTACCATGCTACTACCCGTTGAAGACTTCCCTAGTGAGGAGACAATCCTGGCTGCAGCATCAGGTAATATCTATCATATTATTGCATTGTCACAGAAGTTACGGTATAAAACATTTCAGCTCAATCAGACATCGGGAAGTAGTTAAAATCTCAAATTTGAACTTAACACACATACCTACTACATATCAATCCACCCACATACCTACAAATGTTTAGTAAAAGCCTGTAATAATAATAAATAGATAAAAACGCGCGGTGTACTACCCTCTTCTTATTAAAAATAGGATCATACAATAAAATAAACTTAACATTAAAATATTCAAACTTGCAAATAAGAAAACAAACAACGTGCGTTGCTTTAGTCTCCTCTGCACCAATGGTGCATGCGGCACTAGGGCGATTTTTTTTGTAGCACAAGAAAGCAAGGAAAAGGGTTTCATGTCTTGTAATACAACAAGCTTCGTAACTGGAACTATTTTCCGCTGGGTATAATTTTCCACTTCGAATAGATATTCCATGTATGGAAGCAGCATTAGTTCCATGTATGGAACTAGTAGGTTGCAGAAGTTCCATGTGTAACTGGCTTCATGGAACTACTGAGAATAAACCCTTATTTCTATTTAGATTCATACCTTTCCTAAAATGACAAATTTTTAAAATGACTGCTTTGCCAAGCTGACTTAACTAATGTCAGGCTAAACTTGTCCCTCATTTAATACATCACACACAATCACACAGCAGGTGGTATTTTATTTTTATATTATTGGATGTATTGGATTAACCAACTTCATTTCTGGTAAGCTATCGCGGTAGCCTAAAGATCTTTATTATACCAGCATCCTTTACCAATAGATAAATACTTTAGTAGTTACTTCATAAATGTTATCGAATATGCCATCAGTTTTATTGACGTGCTGTCTTGTAATTAACAATTTTGAAAATAGATTTGAAACTAATTAGAGCCTAACGTTAATCTGCTCACAACTTAATGAAGTCATAGGCTTACTTTCCAATTATTTTTATTGTATTTCATTTTATTGAACACTGTATTACATTATTTATTTGACGCGTTTACACAGAGATATCAATCTCAAAGAATAGCTTTAACCTTTAATAGTTAAAGTGCTATCACGAAATCGAGTTGGAACGGTACACATTGCGTTCTGAGTGCGAAAACAAAAGAGAGCAATATCGACCAAACTCTCAAAAGTGAGAGGGAGAGCCGCCACCCTCTTTATGAGTCAGAGGGGAGGACCCTTGCACGTAGATATTGCGGTACCTACCCTTAGTACAGTGTACGGCATGCACTATACGGCCATATCTATCGATTTGGAGTGCTGGTTGCTCGCTATTACTAGAATATTTTTTACCATTAGTTATTGAATAATTATATATCCCTGATGTTCTTCATTCTTGTTTTGTGATGGATGCTATTAAATACAAAAAATACTCTCTTCCAACGTTTCTAATGGCAAAAAAAATAGGACTAAATGTCGCAACCTGTGGGAGTCTATTCTATGTCACAGCCGTCGATACAGACGCACCGCGTGTTAAGCGATTTGTCGATTAGCATATTCCTACAACGTTATGCAGCTGTTGTCCCTGTAAATTTTCTTAACAAACTCTTAACAGTAATAAGTAGATAAGAATTGTTAAGAGGCCAAATATACATTTTATTTTAAGAGACTGAAATTTTAGTTATTATTATTGTCTTAATCTCAAGCCAACATATATTACACGATGAACTAGTTAAATGTTAAGCTGTACGTATAATCTAGAAAGAAAACAGTAAAATTTGAGAAAAGTTATAATCAAAACAATACGGCTTATTACTTAGGTTTCGCTGGTTGGTACCCACGTAGTATATAGATTCTTTTACAAGCTTTACTTGTATCAAATAATGTTCCTACTAATATTATGTTTTTACACAAACATCTTCTTGATGTCAATATTTAAAAAACCACTAAACCAAGTGGTTCCCTCTTTAATATCAGTCAGTTAAGCCTACATCCACCCTCTAATCGTGTGGGCAAAAAACTTTTCCATATGACGTGGCGAT